TCACAGTAATCCATCGATTACCGAGAGTTAGACCCAAAACACCAAAGGGCACGAGGTTGTAATTTACGCATGAAACACTAGCGACAAGCTAAGACGGGACTAGCTAAACTCGCTATCAAAGCAACATCAGCAGCGACCTCAAACGCCAGTACCTGGCCAGGCACCACTCGATAGCCTCCTCCTCAATGCTTGCTACAAGTCGCATCGGCGTTATAGCGACTCCATTGAAGGTTCAAGCATTTCTCTCCTTCCATAGCCCCTAGTCGATCGGGGAAGAAGAAGGAATCAAGCGACCCACTTGCTTAGGGATAAGCTTTCGCTGCGAAGCCACCACCGCAAGGCGTGCTCATCCCGAAGGCCATGCTTTCATCGAGGTGCAGCTTCTTGAGCCAAATCGCTGAGACCTCTCTCTGAAGATGCAAGATGCAACAATGACGCAGAAGATGATGCATCGTCTCTCCGTCCAACATCTCTCGTGCATCACGATCAGCTAGATGATGCAACAATATTAAGCATGAGTCCTAAAGTCCATGACGGAATCTCGAATCTCTGCATGGAGCATTAAATGTCTAAACATCTCTCGTGCATCACGACACAACAATGGTCGCTATCCACCGAAAGTGCTATGTCAAGTTCACATGTCCAGTTACCCCAATAAAAACATTCTTTCTGTAGTATAAATCATGAAAACGATGATAGTAGAAAAAGTAGAGGCACCCCCATGAAACATTATCAATTATGCACATTAGTCACCCTGTCCTAGTCTAAAATTGCAGAACGCACACCCATGAAAAAGTTATCAGTACTATACATTGTTCATGGTATAACAAGGTATCTATAAAACAAAAGGAGGTATCTGGCCAAATTTTTGCATACAATTGGCTCCATGTAAATTTTTGCATACAAAGGGCTTGTCTTCTTGTGCCCGGGCCTTGGCTGGTGTCGCAAGCCGGGCAGGAGCCAAGGCCCGCGCTCGAAAGTGTCGTCGGTTGGGAGCCTGAGCCCTGGGCAAGCCCCCGAGCCCTGGGCCGCACCATGCCCAGGCTCGGTCAGGTTTCTTGGTCGGAGGGTGCGTACGAGCGTACCCGATGGGTATAGCCCCCGAGCCTCAGGCGATCCTAGAGGGGTCGGTCGGGGGTCCCTTAGGTCGGGAACCATTGATCCCAAGGCTTAATATACCCAAATTTTAGGATCTCATCACCTGGGCACAAGAAGACACGCCCCAAGCCTTCTAGGCTCGGGGGCTCCTCGACGTAGCACTTTGGGCGCGCCCTTGTCGGCCGCTCCCCCGACAAGGTCATGCACGGGGCGTGACACAAGAAGACAAGCTCTCCTCGACCTCTGGGGGCTCTGGGGCTTCCGGCCCCGCCCATCAGCCACTCGAGCCAACCTTCCTCGCCACCAAGAAGACTCCAGAAGGTGCACCCGGGGGAGGCCGGTCCAAGCCGACATAGCCTAACACTCAAGCGTATCAGAACAGGCCAGCCAGTGATGCCCAAGGCTTCTTTGGCTCCACGACATCGCCACGGTCCACAGAGCACCGCTAGAAGACCCTCCTAGACTCTAGCGCTTGTAGACCATAGGCTCAACCCCCAAAACGCCATGTACCCGACCTATCTCGATATATAAGGGTAAGGTCAGATCCTAGAGGGGAGATGATGATCCTAGACAGATCATTCCATTCCTGATCGATCCGCTCCTGTTCAGCACCGAGAGCAGAGCAACCTAGAGTGGGGCACCGTGAGCTCCTCCACCGCACCTGTCGTCTTCCTCCTCTCCGATGAGGGGAAGGTTCCACCGGCGGTGAGGCAACCTCAGGATTAGCACCGAGCTAACCCCCTACCAAATCTCTCTTCCTCGTGTACACTCTGTTGTAACCCCTGGTTTTGGGTGCTCTTGAGTATATGGATCATCAGCTGCTGGACGTAGGGCACTGATCGGCCCGAACCAGGATAAACCATTGCGTCCTCTCTGTGATTCTTATGTTCTTGAGTCCACTCGAGCCAACGGAGACACGTACTCTGACACCGACTCGAATAACAATGCTTGTCGTGGTTCCAACCCCATGACACCAGCCATGTACTATGTTTGTGCTTCATATGGTGGAGGACAACGGCCGTCTTTGCGAAGTTTGGGTGGAACTTCGCATGGAAGCCTAGTTCTTTTTGTTGTTACCCCTGTTCCTAGTCAAGTTGAACTATGTGTTGGTTTTTTATGTCTCTTGGACGTGAGAGTGTGTGCCTTGTGGCCTTGGTTTGTACCGACAATCAGCTGTGTATCATCCTTTGATGGTAGAGGCTGGAACTTTATTCCATTATCTAAAGTTAGTTGAGACAGCTTAAATCAGCCCAGTTATTATTAGGTTGTAATTTGCTTCTTCCCTCTTTTTCATATATGATAATTAGATAGTTGTGATATCAAAAGGTGAAAAGATTGTTTCATCGACTCCAACGGCCAATTTTCAAGACAAAACAAGGTTCGGCGGCGCTCTCCTGATCATGGTGACTGATACACGCATTCCTCGTGATTGTGGCTTCTACTTATGCTTCCTCTCATATTCGCCTATGTTTCCCATGTATTATGTATGCACATACATCCATGCATAGTGAAAAGATGCAATCATGAACTACCATACATACGTCTACACCCAAGAGCAGAGCATTATTAGTTGACTAGTAAGTAGTAACAACACCATTTGATGATCGTACGAGGCTGAGCATCCTTCGTGTGGTTGATAATATGGTCTATGGACGTGGCCGTCGCTCGAAAACTAATAAGAAGCTAAAAACGATGGAGCTCTATCTATTATATAGCACCAAGCTAGACACATCCATGCCAGCACCAGAGGTCCGTGTCTTCAGCGGTGGTGGTGCACGGGCGGCCTGCCTACGTAGACCTACCTAGCTTACCCTTAGCGATGGGAGTGGGCACTAGGGACACAGGCAGTGGCATGTGGCTGACAACTAGGACAACAACACTTCACGCTTTTGCAAGTAATTGATTTGTCCTCGGCAATAAGATCTGGCTAGAACCCTAGCCTCCAGCGATGCTCCCGTCCACCTACCGCGACCACTGCCTATTCACTTTAGTTACAGTCATGCTAGCTTATACTATATCTAGTTCTCACCTTAGGTACATCATTCTCGAACCTCTAGGTGATTTTCCGCGCACAGCGAAAACCTAATTAAAAAAACATCATTGGTAGGATTGCTCTCGTCGGCAATTCAAAAAAAAGGATGAACAAGAGACAAAAACGATTAATTGGCTGATTTACCATCACATCGTAGCACCACAATATCCATCCACGTCTGCTACCAAGAATAGGACCTGTGAAAACACATAGCAGCGAGAGAACTCAATTTGTCAGGGAGCACGATTATTCCACTATCTTAATAAAGCTCGGCACGGAAGTAAATAATGAATGAAACTTAGCTATAATCCAAGCCGCCGAAACTGAGCACAGCAGGACGACTTACAAGTCTACAATGTGTAGCTTTACGTGCGCAGCTTTATCAAAAAAAGATTTACGTGCACAGTGGCCTAGTCCTTGTCTAAGCAAGAGTTAACGGCAGCGGCAGCGGAGGGTCCACGTGCGGCGAAAGCGCAAGGAGCGCCTGCGCCCCGTGACTCCGTGAAGCTGTGAGAACGAGCATGGCGCCGTTTCCGATCCACTTACCTGTCGGTCTTCCACGCGCCGACCAGTCCTGTCGGCCCTCCAGATGCCGACTGGTCCTGTCGGCATTCTAGCTGCCGACTGGGTCCCTATTACCTGCTGTCCGCTTACGCGTGTGTGCGGCGCAGACCTATCGGCCAGTGAGAAGCCGACAGTCTGCTATATGTCAAATTTTTGTATAATAGCTTCTTGATTTACAATTAATCATTAAAAAAAATTATTTAAAAAAATTCTACATTCTTTCACACGCCAAGCTTTGGCTCCCTCTTTACTCAACCTGAACGCGATAGATTTTAGCTTTTTAAACAGGGGGTCTGAGTGTGACGCTAGTTCGACAACTCGTGCAACAATGATACAAAGTCCGATTTCTAATTGTATTGAGTTTCATGCATTTCTGATTCCAAGATATATTGGATTTAGTGCGATGCATTAAAATTTAATATAAAAGGTAAAACATAAATATGTATGTATCATTTTCTATAAATTGTTGGTTTTATTTCTTCCGTTGCAACGCACGGACATATTTGCTAATAATAAAAAAATATGTTCATCGCTTTTATTCTTTCGTTGCTCCTATCTTCTCGCCACTCCTATCTGCTCGCCTGCAGCCTCCGAGGAGCGGCGCTCGGCCACCGGACTATCGGCCCTACCTGCTAGGCGCGACGCGTGGCTTATGCCTCCCTGCCCTCTGCCTTCCTGCCACGTCGCGTGGCTGATGCCTCCCTGCCGCCTCGCACAGCCACTGCCTTCGGCGAACTCCATACACCGATGAGCCTACATTCTCCCAAGCAACAAAGAGATATTGCGATGTGATAGAAAACGCATGTTACAAGCGTATGTTTTATGTGTTTCATTCAGGTGTTTCATAGGTACGTTGTAATTGTTTCATGCGAATGTTTCAAAAGTAGATCGAGATGTTGTATACGGAGTATGTTGCAATACTTTTACACATATGTTGCAAAGGTCTGTTACCAATGTTTCATCCGTGTTTTTGGATATATGTTACAAGTGTGTTTTATTTAGATGTTGTATATGTTTCATACGTACGTTGTAAGTGTTTTATCTATATATTGTATATGTTTGAATTTATTTTAACTCTTTGAAGAATGAGAACATGTTATGTCCTGAGGAACCTGATTTCGAGTTGGACAAACTCAAATGCTTTACCTCTCTTCAGTATTTCAAAAAAGAAAATTTACCTCTCTTTTATTAATTATGGCACCACAGTACAACACCACCCAGACTGCGCGTAGTACCAGTGACTTCACCCCTTGTCACGGTGTCGACCTTCTACTCTACTCACTCAGTCACCCCCCTCTCCTTTCCCATGGCAGCCGCCGCCGCCGTTCGCCGCCTACTGCGTGGGGTTTCCTCCACCTCCGTATCCAACACCAGCCGTCTCCTCTCCTCCACCACTTCCCCACCTCCCCACCGGAGCTCCAACACCAACTCACCAGTTGCCTTCGACTGGTCCGACGACGACGCTGACAGCTCCTCACATCCACCCCCGTCCACGGCAAAGAAGGATGAACTACCTCCCCCTTACTACGACCCCTTCAGCAAGAAGCCCGCCGTTGCCGAGCCGTCCGACCCCACCAACCTACAGGAGATCTTCCACAGGATGCGGAAAGAGGGCCTCACCGATTACGCCATCAAGATGTTCGACGGATTGTCCAAGGACGGGCTCACCCACGAAGCTCTCGCGCTATTCGCCGTCATTAAGGATAAGGGCTCCATGCCCGACGTCGTCGCCCACACCGCCGTCCTCGAGGCCTATGCCAACGCCGGCCCCGCGCACTGGCGCGACGCCGTGCGCACCTACGACCGCATGCTCGCGTCCAGCGTCGTGCCCAACGCGTACACGCTGGCCGTGCTTGTCAGGGGGCTCGCGGCCAGCGACCGGTGCGCGGAAGCCGGCAAGTACCTAGTGGAGATGCTCGACCGCGGGATGCGGCCGAATGTGGCGACGTATCTGGCCGCGTTTGAGGCGTATCTGAGGATGGAGAAAGTGGAAGAGGGGAAAGTGCTGCTAGAGACGATGAAGGGGAAGGGGTTCGTACCAGACGAGGAGGCCGTGCGTGGCGGCACTGTGAAGCGGGGGCAAGTGTTCGATGGCATAATAAACTTGCACTTTGGCAAGTGATAGTGGTACGCTTTGCTTGGTGCATGTTTGAATGTTTGAATCAAAAATAGTATTTGCTCTTTTGGCAGTAGTGGTACGCTTTGCTTCTTGGTGCATGTAGGAATGTTTGATTCAAAAGTAGTATGTTCTTGTGAGCCTTCAGGACTTCCAAGTGAAATATGTATTGTTTGTCCTAAACAAGGCTAATGGCTAATGTTCCTTGTTTAGTAGGCTAAAGTAACAAGTTTTTGGGACACATTTTGAATGCTAGAATAGTAAAATGTCAAGCTTTTTTAGGGCAGGGTAGTATACAATATTATTCATTGTGGATCTTATTTTATTGAAGCCCTCACATAGCATGTAAGTTCTATACAGCGGAAGTTTTCCAATATTACTTATTTCTTTATTTTTGGCTTGGATTAGCATTTTGTTCAAATAAATTATGGAGGAAAGCAAAAGGGATGAACTGACAAATTGATAAAAGCAAGTGAAAAAATGAGCAGGAAAATATTTTTTTTGAAACATTGAGCAGGAAAATAATGAGGCAAGAAGAACCATGCTTAGCCATAGTTGGTCAAAGGAAATCTAAGGAATCTGGGCTTTCAAATTTTTATGGTGATTTTAACATCAAACAGATTTCTCATGCATTTTGCACCCTCAAAGAGACAAATGATGGTGCATGTCCTTCTGCCTCATGATCCTCTTGCATTTTTTTAACCCGAATGCACATAGCAATTGTTAGACATGTTGTAGCAGTAAACATTTATGAACTATGCATAAAAGTACTGCAGTTTTATATATCACATGTAGTGACCTTTACTCCTTAGTTTTGCATGGAACACCTTGGGTTAATTGCAAGAATCACATAAATCTCTTAATCATGCAAGCCCTGTTGGCTGCTCAGCAGCTAGGTCGCAGCTGTGAGCAATGATATGCTAGTTACACAATCAAAGAAAATTAGAAAACAGACAACCATGAGCAGGAAGCAAATTTCCCTTTCACCTGTCTACTCTTATCCAGCATTTCACTTCTATCATTATCATCATCTAGTCGAGCAAAGAAACAGCCAGAACAACTTAAGCTTTCTATTCTCCAAGACCTAACCATATCTATTATCTATGCTCCGAGCCTGAGAACACATGGGATTCTTTGGATCAGGCCTAACCGGCTAAGCACAACATGAAACTCTAGTACACAGCCTAAAGAAAATGGACGGAACCAGCGGCAACAGAGAAGCAAGAGGTAGCACATAATCTACGTCTACCGGGTTAGGATGGTGTCATTAGTTTTGTAATTTTTTCATATATAAATTTCTATAGGGATTACATTGAATAGTGATTATCTGATTGTCTGTTCCATGATGTTAGCTGGATCTTTTTTTTTCCTTCAGAGAGTGTGCATCAGAAAGAGAATATATCATGTGGTTAATCATCTGACCTAACCTTTTCGCAAGTACAATATTATTAGATAATCTACTGCTTCTTTGTGTGAACACACAGCAAGGGAAGGCGGCGCCGAAAAGGTTCCCCATTGTGGTATCAGAATAACATGGTAGAGGCAAAAGGCCGAACGGCTCACACTGCCGTCATACTATAGTCACATGAGGGACAGTATGATCGATCCTGCTTTGTGTTATCTAGTCACTATTGCGTGAGGCATTGTACTAGAACTAGATGGATAGAGTTGTATATATAGCTTACCACTGCAACTCAACAAAGAGAGTTCAGTTTTGCCATCTCCTATACAGGGCTCCGGCCAACGCTGGTGCTTGTACTGTGTGTGTATGCTCTGTTCTTCCTCTTCTTCTACCTCGAGCCATAGTGTGTGTGGTTGGACAGCCTTTGTCGTGTTCGGCCGTGGTCGGCAAGACTGGTGAGTGGTCGACTCACCTGAGCTGGTGATCCTGTGGGCTAACAAGTGGTATCGGAGCCGTACAAGCACCGTTGTCGGACTAACCACTGGCGATGACGAACGGTTCGGAGATGGGCGATGGCAGTGGCACTGCTGTGGCTATTCGCACGATGCGGGAGATCAGCGGCACTAGTTGGCCGACGCTGACCCGCACCAACTATGGAGAGTGGTCGGTGACCATGAAAGTCAAGCTCAGAGCCCGACGGTTCTGGAATGCTGTTGACAAGGGCACCGACAATGAGGAAGATGACATGTCAGCGTTGGAGACTATCCTCGCTGCTGTACCGGCGGAGTACAGGGAACCGTTAAGGGCGAAGAGCTCTGCTAAGGAGGCGTGGGAGGCTATTGCGGCGATGCGCGTCGGTTCTGACCGCGCAAAAAAGGTGACGGCCCAGCTTCTAAAGCAGGAGTACGCCAACCTCAAGTTCAAGGATGGTGAAACAGTGGAGGACTTCTCCCTCCGCCTGCAGACGCTCATCAGCAAGCTGAAGAGCCACGGCATCACCATCGACGAAGAGGAGGCGGTCTCCAAGTACCTCCACTCTGTGCCGGCAAAGTGCATCCAGATCGCTCTCTCTATAGAGACGATGCTGGACTTATCCACCCTCACCATTGAGGATGTGGCAGGCCATCTATGGGCGGTGGACGAGCGCCTAGAGCATGCGACAGCAACGAAGGACAGCGGCAAACTGCTACTGATAGAGAAGGAGTGGGCTGCTCAGAGGAACTCCGAGGTAGCCTCCTCCACTCGTGGTGGCGATGGCAAGCGCCGCGGCAAGGCTTCTTCGGAGAAGAAGCAGGTCGACCCCAACGCCTGTCGGCGCTGCGGGAAGACGGGCCATTGGGCACGGGAGTGCCCAAATCGCAAGCAGGAGAAGAAGGCTGAGGCTCATCTGGCGCAAGCTGATGATGATGATGAGGCCACTGTCCTGATTGCGACGTTTTGTGCACTGCATGACGTTGAGGCTGAGGAGAAGCAAGAGGTGACGACGGTGGAAGGACCTGGGAAGGATCTGAAGGCTGTCAACCTCAACGAACCACGCGCCCAAGTCCACCTCAGACGTGTGGGCGTCGACCAAGAGTAGCGATGGTATCTGGACTCTGGTGCCAGCAACCACATGACGGGCTCCAAGGTAGCCTTCTCCGAGCTCGACGACGATGTTACCGGTACGGTGAAGTTTGGGGATGGCTCAAGGGTGGCAATCCAAGGGCGCGGCACCATCATCTTCAGGTGCCAGAACGGGGAGCACCACGCGCTAACGGATGTATATTACCTCCCGCAGTTGCGTTTAAGCATCATCAACATTGGTCAGCTGGATGAGCGTGGTAGCGAGGTACTGATCAAGGACGGAGTCCTTAGGATCAGGGACCGGGAGCAGCGACTTCTCGCCAAGGTGAAGAGGTTCCAGAACCAGTTGTACCTGCTCGACCTGAAGGTAGAGCAGCCGGTGTGCTTGGCGGCAAGGCACACTGAGGAACCGTGGCTGTGGCATGCCCGGTTCGGACATCTCAGCTTCGACGCACTTGGTCGGCTGGAGAAGATGGTCCGAGGGCTACCCCACATCAAGCACGGAGGCGAGCTGTGTGACAGCTACCTAGATGGGAAGCAGAGGAGGCTGTCGTTCCCAAAGGCGGCCAAGTATCGCGCGGACGATGCTCTCGAGCTCGTCCACGGCGATCTCTGCGGGCCGATCACACCATCCACAAATGGTGGTCGGCGGTACTTCCTCCTGCTCGTGGATGATTGCAGTCGCTACATGTGGCTGCAACTCCTGACGAGCAAAGACGAAGCGGCGGCGGCGATCAAGAAGTTCAAGATGCGCGCGGAGGCCGAGAGCGGCAAGAAGTTTTGCATGCTGAGGACTGATAGCGGCGACGAATTCATTTCGGTGGAGTTTGCTGCGTACTGCGCGGATCAGGGTGTGGTGCGACACCATACCACGCCGTACTCGCCACAACAGAATGGCATGGTGGAGAGGCGGAACCAGACGGTGGTCGGCATGGCCTGATCCATGATGAAGGCCAAAGGCAAGCCGACAAGGTTCTAGGGTGAGGCGGTGACCACGGCGGTGTTCATCCTCAACCGCGCTCCCACCAAGGCCCTGAAGGGCAAGATATCGTTCGAAGCTTGGTATGGACGCAAGCCGAGCATGTCCTTCCTTCGGACATTCGGTTGTATCGGCCACGTCAGGAAGACGAAGCCGATCCTCACCAAGCTAGAGGACAGGAGCACACCAATGGTGTTCCTGGGCTACGCGGAGGGTACCAAGGCGTACCGGCTCTACGACCCACGCAGAGACAAGGTACTTGTCTCGCGCGACGTCATGTTCGACGAGAAGGCGGCTTGGGACTGGAGCAGCCCGAGCACGGGGGAAGCTGGCGGCTTCACCAGCACCTTCGTCGTCGAGCACCTGGTCATCCACGGTGGTGGATACGCTGGGGAAGAGGTGCCGAGCACTCCGGAAGGGGTGCCGAGCACTCCAGTGACAGAGCTGAGCACTCCTGGGGCAGTGTCGAGCACTTTGGGAGGGATGCCGAGCACGCCAGGAGTGGTGCTAGGAGGTTCTGCAATGGTGGCGACCACTCTAGGACGGGTGCCAAGCACTCCCGTAGCGGAGCCAAGAGGTCTTGCAGTGGTGCCGACCACTCCAAGATTGAGGCTAAGCACTCCTACAGTGGTGCCGAGCACTACAGGAGTAGTGACGAGTTGTCCAGAGGTAGTGCCGAGCACTGCAACCAGGGTGCTGAGCACTCCAGCGGAACAGGGAACTCCATCGATGCTGACCGAGTTCGCCTCACCTCCAAGTGACATCACTGAGTTCGTGGATGCCTTCCACGAAGGTGAGGAGGTACGGTTCTGCAGGCTGGACAACATCGTCGGTGGCATAGGGCCCTCAAGACTGGCTGGTCGGCTGCTCAATGACCAAGAGCTGCTGCTCGTCAGTGCCGAGGAACCACCCACATTCGCGCTGGCCGAGCACGATGGAAACTGGCGACGGGCGATGCTGAGGAGATGAAGGCAATCGAGGAAAACGAGACATGGCAGCTCGTCGATCCACCTCCAGGATGCCGTCCGATCAGCCTGAAGTGGGTGTACAAGGTCAAGCGGG